TAGATATTCTTATCCTGTGCTAGTACTGCTGTATGCTTTTAAGATGCACAGTGAATGGTGATGTTGCTCTCTACATATCAAACACAATGCATCCCTTTAGATTTCATAGTTCGCTGTGCCCCAGGTGCTGTTATTATCAGTCCCGACATCATTCATTTGATATGACGGGCCCTGTCTTTCCATTTATCTGTAATGGACAGGAGATTTTGAATCATTTTATCTTCCAAGCACAGCAGCATCTTTTCTTTAAAAAGTGACTTTCCTCTCTCTCTGTCTCCATTTCTTGCTTTCTTCCCTGTCTAATATTGTGTGCTATGTTTATCTGCCAGTCCTTTTACTCTTTATCTCCAGTTCTCTTTTGTTTTTGTGCCCACCCTTGCACCCCCTTTCTCTCTCTCTCTCGTCTCTCTCTCCCCCCACCTCTCTTGTTTTTCTGTCTCTGCAGGGCACTGGACCAGGTTTATTGCAATCAACAAAAAGGTGCTGTTGACTTTATCAGCCTTGGTTTAGGACTATGTAGCATCTCCCCATTCAAACACATGGTTCATGCAGAATTTAGTGCAGCTGTAAGCTGAGGTGCTCAGGATCTTCTGCTTTGCACTTAAGCCGAGCAGGCTTAAGAGTAAGACAATAAAGAAGACACATCTGTAGTAAAACTTGATGTCAGACTTTGAGGTACAAGATTAAAAGCAAGGTCTTACAAGTGCAAGCATTTAAAATACGATTCTGTTTTAAACTGAACAAGTCTGTACTTTAGCTACTTAACCTCTTTCTCATTAACTCCCCGCGAGGTGGCCCTGCCTTCAGAGCAAGAGTCTAATGCTTCTCTTAGAAGTGCAGTTACCTCCCCGTGGGTTATGAATGGGAATCACACCCTGGTCTTTTCTGATTGTGTTATATCAACTTCAGGTGTAAGGATCTGTTTCTTGTAGACTAGTTCTAGTTGTCCCATATGCAGTTCTAGGTGACTGCCTGCATTTATACATCTTTAGAGCTGAGTGTTGTATATAGAGAGGAATATTATTGATGGCATATAATGATATTTGAAACCAGCAGTCATCAACAAATTCACCTAAAGTTGAATTTGCTCTGCTCACCACCAGTCATTAGGGTTACACATGTTCCATCACGTTTCTCCAGGGACTGGCTGGCTTGAATACTTTTTCAGTTCGTCTAACTGGACTCTGTGGCACTATTGCAGCATGTCTGAAAGACGGACTGCCCGAGTGTTTCTTTCCTCAGGCAAGGGTGAGCGGTGAATGCCTTGCTGTGTAGCATTGTGGTGGCAGTGTTTTCTAACCATCTCTATTTTTAGAACAGCTTAGTAAAGCTCAGAGGATCCCTTCTTCCACCAGCTCCATGGCTTCTTCTGAGTCATTCTAGAGACACCTACAGAAATGTTACAGCCCTAGGGTCTCCTTGAAGAAGGTCAGAAGTATTTAGTTTAGCCTGGTGGGAGAGACGTGTGATATTTGCACAGGCCACCTTGTATTGTGGAACTGATTCTTTCTCCACTGTCCCTCATAGATCATGTCACTGAAAGATTGTGGGTGAAATGTTTGATGGAACAACTTCAGTTGTCATGCAGAACAAAAGGGGAAGCTGTCTCATAGTTTCCTTTAGCTGTGCCCCATTTGGAGCCAAGCACTATGCCAGAGGCAGCTAACAGCTCTCCAGTAGGCTGACCCACATCAAAGAATGCCCTGGCTGTTTAAAGGTAGAAGAGGAGGCAGAGCTATAACAAAAGTACAATCTAAAGCATCAGGCTTGTGAACAAGAGAAATGCAATTTAATTGTTTCACACATATATGTGTAACACATCTGGGCTCAAGATGCGCGATAACTAACAATTATAGGCAATCTGTATAGAGGCACAGAGGTGGGGTTTTCTTTACTTATTGGAATTCTTTGTGGCAAATGTTTTCATCATTCCTGTTGAGCTGCTAGGAGTCCCATCTAGGGTGGCAGGTAGTCTCACTAATGCTGTGAAGGAGAAAAGACACATAAAGCATTTAAAGCAAATGTAATAGCTTGGAACCACGTTGTAAGAAATGCCTTTGATTTGAGCAGTGAATTTCATTAAATCCTGCCAAACATACAAAGCCACTCTCAGCTTCCCAGCCCCTTTATTTGCTATCAGCACTTGAGATCAGCTTAATATTTTACCTTCACCCTTGGTTGCAGAGCATAACGGACAAACCCATTATCTGCGAATGTCATCGCTATTAGGAATGGGAGAGAAGAAAGAAAGGAACAAGGATACAGGGCTGGTGGGGATGTGCAAAAGTAAACAGGCTTTAACAGAATGGTCGGAGTGGGGAGTGAGATGGAAAAATCAGTCTCATAATTTAATTAAAGTTGTGCATCTCCTTAGGAGCTATGGATACAAGCTGCCAGGCAGAGTGCTAATATTTAAAGGTCATTTAAATGAGCAAAGATGTTAATCATTGAAGGGACAAAACTGAACTTTGTCTCCCAGCAATTGCCTATGTGCTGAGATTTTACCTTCCTTCCCTGCTGTAAATAAAAGCTTTCTAATAATTGCTGTAGTGTTGGATTATGCTTACTGTACCCATCCTAAGTGATCAGCAGTGTTGGTGAATGGCATGGGTGGGGGATTGGCTTGTCATAGGGTCACCTCTAAGAAAAGTCTCAATTTTTATTAGAGCAATGGAGTTGGTAAATTGCGTCACAGGCAGAGTGAAGTCTGCCTGAAGAGTGAGACATGTCGGCATGCTCTGTGGAAACTGTGCTCATGTATAACTAACACCTTCCAGTCCATGGGCCACAGCAGAACCAGATGCTGCGGTGGGAAACACTGGTGCCTTGTAACACCATCTACTTGGCTTTAACAAGCGTTAACGGAGTTTTTTAGGAGTTTTTCTTGCATCCTTTTTGAAGACCTCTCGGGATTTCTTGTATGCTCTAAAGGATTTACTTATTTATTTAATTTTAACAAAGAGACTTTTAGTTTAGTCTACGAAACAGTGAAATAAAAATTGAGCTTGGTGTTAGCTTGACATTAATCTCTATATTACTGCATCCTTTTGGGAGTAGTTCATTTGTCATGTTCGTACTCCCCAGCATGTTTGGCTTGATATGTTGGAGTCTCCCAGCAAGTACCAAGGCATTTTAGCCAAGGGAGACATGCTGGTGGTTTGAGAAGACATAAACCAGTGTCAATTCCAACAAAAAGGCAAGGGAGAAGTTGTTTTATTTAAGCAATAATAGTGCTGAAGAATGAGATGTGCAGTTCTGTAATAACAATAAGACTTTTTTTTTTTTTTTAGTTGTTAAAATTAAGTGTGAGAATTAAAGTCTAGCCATCATTCAACTATTGTTTTCAATTAGTTGTGCTCCCTGATACAACTGTTGGGCAGGCAAACATCGCGTGCTTACGTCAAGGAAGTGGTTGGTGCTGGGTCTTTTTTTTTCACCAGTCACCAATGAGAAGATGATTGTTTTTGAATGTAATTCAGTGATTCTTTTTGGAGTTGTATCTGCTGAAAGGAAAACATCTATGAACACAGGTTCTTGACAGAAACACAGTTGATAAGTTCATCCGAGCAGCTGTGGTCCTGAAGGTCGGGAGAGGTGAGCCTCCAGGTACCTTTGCCTGAAGGACCATTATGCAACAGAAGTGAAGTTGTTGTGTTTTCACTTCGAATTTTTGGCAGAAGCATCACATCAGCATTCAATGACTTCCCATGTGTTAGCTATTGCTAATGTTTTCCAAATGGCAGAGTGAGTAATGTGGGAACTATGGATTATGAAGAAAGAGGGGAAATCAGGTAACGCTGAAACTAAAGTTGGAATGGATCTTGTGATGTTGCCAGAAACCCCAAGATGGCATCAGAGACCTTGTTTTTCTACATTAAAAACATATGAAACATTTTTAGTGACTCTTATTTTTTCTTTGTCATGCTTTCTTATCCAGTTCTCTCTTGTTTGTACTTTTATTTTTTATTTATTTATTTATTTTTAATTCTTACCTTAGGACCCTTTCTCTGTAAGCATTATTTGCAAGGCATTGATAATACCAAAGCTACTACTTGCAACACACCCTAGTTGCAGTTCAAGATTCTGCCTAAACACCACCAAATTGCATCCTAGGAATACATTTGTACTTTGTTACTAGGAGGCTAGAACAGCAAAGCTGGATGCAACTGTGTAGCTAGAAATTTGCCCAATACTGAGGATAATTAGGCTCTCTACTACACACAGTCACTAATGAGGGAGATTAGACAGATTTTGCAAAATTGTGCAATGATGTACTGCTCCATACAGTCAAATATCCTGCAGAATTTTCCACTGATCACTGACTCAGGAACAGAATATTTTCAAGCCAACTAAAGAAAACACTTTCTCAGTGCAAATCTAGGATCCTTATTTAGCTTTTTATTCAGCCTTTGCAGTGAATCTAGGTAATTGTTCTACATAATGATGTAGCATGCATCAAGATCTTCGTGATGTGCTTCAGATAGCTACATTTCTCGTGAGCAGAGAAGCTTAAATGAGATATCCAGCTCATCTCATTTAAGTGCATACATATTTCAGACTGGTCGAAGAGATTCAAGCACCTGTCTTCAATTAGAATGAGTAGGAGTTGGATGTACTTATTTGCTATAGAGGTTTTGAGAAGCCTTTGCTCTATGTAAGCTGGCTGAATTTTGTTAGATAGCACGGAATTTAAAACATTTCCAAAGATATTTTGTTTGTAAGTAGTCTTGGTTATGTATGTACTTAGGTAAAGGAAAAACTGTGTTTATTTTCAGGACTGCAACTGTGTGAACCTTAGAAGGAAAGGAAATGATAAAATGTGCCTACCGTAAGCACCTTTGAAAGTATGGGCTGTTGACTCATTCCAACCCAATGTTCAAAATCTTTATATTTGTGTTTTAATTTACATTCCCTGTCCTTGTGCCATGTCTTGGCAGAACTGGAAACTCTTTGGAACCAACTGTTTTGATGGTTTATGATGTGTTGTTTTTTGATTTCAGCCATCGTTGTTCCTTGAGCGGGGATGATCTGAACAGACAGTGGTTGAAGCCCAGTTCCCAGCTTCATCCAACTATTTACCACACCAAAGGTCTTCTGTACTATCTGCGCAGCATTGGCCGGGCTCCTCTGGTGAGTATTTTCCAGTGTCTTTTATAAGTTACTGTGTGTAGATTGATTATTGCAGTTGTGCGAACAGCTTTGTTTTAGAGCTAGAGAGATTTTGAAAGTATCCTGTGCTGTTATGCTTTCATCTTATAGATCTGTTTTGAATGTCTTGGATTTTCTACTGAATCTTCTAACCAACGACTCCAAATTTCAGAGCCCTTGCACACCTGTAATATGAATATGAATTCTTTAAATCTCTTTAATATCCTTAGAGTATTCCGACTGAGCTAAATATTGTTAATAGGTTATTGCTATCTTCCTGACAAGAAGACAGAAGAAATTCTGCAAAGACTTATTCTGAATGGATTTTGCAAAAGCCCACGCTGGAACAACCTATGCAATTCCCAAAACACGGGAAGCAGCCCTCAGAATGGCTGAGCTTCCACATTGCTTTGGTGAGGAGAAGGAGATGACTGGATTTTAGACTACGAGAAATTCATGAGAGGTGATTCTAGTCTCAAAGCTGCAACTGGGGCTGGTCTGGGATCTGTCCCATTTGCTCAGTCTTGTTGTCCAGCAGAATGAATAGTTCTGAGACCTCAGGATAAAAAGCACAGGGAAGTTCAAACGTTAATGAACAGAAATGGAGGCACAGACTAGCAGGTTGGCTGCTTATAGCTACAGTCATGCAAAAAATGTCCAAAGATACACAATTCTCTCTAGTCTTGACAAGGTGAAAATGCCTATGAGCTTCTTTAAGTGAGTTTTTGTGGAAATGTGATTTTTTTTTTTCTTTTTTTTTGGCCAAGGCAATAGCCTGGCAGCTCAGCTCTGCACTCTAAGAAATCTCACAGAAGCACAGCTCACAGTTGTGAGCTTTCTTACCAACTTTTTTTCTTTGGTTTAGAGCCATATATGATCAGTTCTGGTTTGCCACACTATTTTCCATTGGGTCTTTTTTAATTCAGAACCCTCACTGTCACAGCCAGATGTGTAAAGTTGAACATGCACCCAGTACAAGTTTTCATCGTTGCTGAGTGAAGGGAAACTATTGATCCTATCATCTCTCTCACTCACAAGCTGCACGTCAGACTTGATAAACTGATTTTTCTTTGCCTTTGAAGAGTACATCAGTTTTAGGCTACACATGCTCAAAAATGCCTTTTCCCTGCGCCAGAAGAGAGCCGAGTTTCTTCTTCCCTGGCCCTGCTGCCAAGATCCAATGGAGCCAAGTTCCCAGATAGCCAAAAGATTTTTGTGAAGCTACTTAGTTTAATTTATCCTGGAGATGCGCAAGCAGTTTCTTCAAAGCAAAGAAAAGCTGCTTGAAGGAGGAAAGGAAAGAATTTCAAAGTTAACAGCCTTTCAAAACCCTTTCAATTGGTAAACTTCCATAGCAAACAGCCTGCCTCTGGAATCCCAGTAAACCAAGGTGCTGGAGGCACTGTGGCATTGCAGCTCTCCACTGCGTGGGATCTCTTTCCAACTGAGAGCAGCAAAGTGGGAGTGTTAGAGAGCTGTGTCTTGGAGCAACCTGGTCTGAGGGGGAGAGAGGTGTTGCTTTTTCCTTGAGCATTTGTGGTGAGAAAATGCTAGGGTTTACAAGTTATGGTTGACAATGTAGCTGCAGTATGCAACAGGAAATGTGCAGCTCATACAGAGAGACCAGGATGCCCTTGGAGGGGACAGAAAGAACCTCCTAGGGACCAGGAGACACAAAGCAGAGTTTGCTGCCATTCAGAAGTATTCTGTCAAGCTTGGAAACAGATCTGCTTGTAAGGATATAGCTTTTTGTGAGGGGAAAAAAACACTAGATGTGTACCTCAAAACTCTGAGACTGAGTCCTCTCACAACACCACTAAGGAAAAATGGAAATTTTGTAGGAAAATCAAAGAGATTTTGAAATGATCTGTTTTCCAACAGTTTCTTGCTTACCGTTTTCTATTTTGCTTTTCTTTTGTTTTAAAAGCTGCTTGGTTCTGTGAGTCATGAGGAGGGTTGTTTTTGAGTTTGAAAGCATTCCGTACCTCTATGATGATCAGTGCTGGCAAATAACTTTAAATAGATAAAAATTTGCATGTGTGTCTTGAGTCATATCCCAGTGAGCACAAGACTTGGAGTTTGACTGTGTGTTAGTGTCCCAGCTATGCAGAAGGACAGACTGGAGAAAAAACAGATGGGGAGGTCCCAGGTTTGCTTAGTGTTTGCCCAGACAGGAAAATTTCTGTATTTTGTGTTGAAATTACAAAATAGAGCTTTTTCTTTGCTGAATAGTGAGGCGTACACTATGCTGTGGTGTGAAAATGAGGCAGAAGAGTGTATTATAAAGAACAATTTGTTATAAACATTGAGAATAACTGCAGTATTCAGCAAAGTTAATTAAAGCGTAGGATTATAAGACTTGCAAATGGAATGAAAATATTTCCAGTAGCACTGACTTCTCTGCCATGGAATTTGGTGACAATCAGTGGAAGATCCCATGGCCTGAAACAGCAGCAGTGTTACAGAGCCTGGCTTTGATAATCCTTTACTAACACAGAAGGTTCATTCCAGACCCGTCATTAAGGACTCATCGGCAGGTTTCTGGAGATGCAGAATTATAGACCTCACACTTACTAGGCAGCCCAGCTATCTGAATAGCTGATCATCCCTGTGTGGTTTCTGATAAGTAAAGTAATCTTTTAGGTAATAATATATGCGTCTTTTGCGTATTAGTAATTCTGTAAATTGGCAGGTAATTGATACCCAGTTGAGCTGGGATCTCTGCCTTGAACCAGAACGAAAGCTATAAAATCTTCTTTTTGATATTCATAGGAATAAATTCTAGGTGGTACCTGTGGTTAACCTAAACTACGACTATATGTCACTGAAAGCAGAGATGGAACACTAGCTGGAAAAATGTCTGTCATTAAGAGATCCAATAAATGCAGCTGTTTGGAAGGGACCATTACAGGGTAATTCCACGTGCTTCAGCCAGCTATTTCTAGTGCATGGGTTGTATAAACCCTGTAAAATATGCACACTGCCTGACAGGGCTGAATGTCTGGGGTCTGTGCAATGTTGTCTTTTTTTTTTCTTTTTTATTTTTTTTCCCCCTCTTTGGAAAGGATGCTGATTGTAGGCTTGCTCTCGTTAGCAGCTCTCAAACTGCTCTCTTTGTCCTCCCCTTTTTGCCTTTGCCAGGTGGCAAGGGTATAAGCAGTGCAGGAGCACTTGTTGCTGTGAAGGTCACTGATCTCATGGTTCACATGTGGAATGCTCTGTGCTGCATGGATGGGGATGTGCAGGTCCAGAGTCCTACAAAGAGAACCAGAGCTGAGTGGTGGTGTGTGAAGGAACATTGACAAGTTGGAAAACAAAAGGAGCAGGGTATAAGCAAACAAACTGCCAGAGTGAGGTTTTTGTCAAGATAAGCTGAATTGTCCAACTAATTAGGAGCAGGGAGATGGTTCTTCATGCGTGTATGCCTTAGCATCTTCAGTTTGTCAATGTACAGTTTGTCAGAGGAGCTGAAGGAATTTAAATACTCAGTTCCTAGATAATTAAACTCCATGACTGCCTTCAGCTAAACTTAGTTACTGTATAGCTGGCAAATAAACGTACTAGGGTAAATCTTGCCTTAACAGTTGGTGGAAGAGGCTCAACTGCTCCATCTGTTTCTCCCCTCCTGTATACGTGTTTATGTAAGAATACATATTTTTCTCCCCCATAATTTTCCCCCATCTCCCTTTATATTTTTTCGTAATTCTTTCCTACCTTCCAACACCTGTTCCTTTGTCTATTGTGTATGCCCCAGAAAACAATTTCAATGAGATCTTGAAGCTCCTTTCTAATAAGTGGTGAATACTGGTTTAAAATGAACCAATTTCTTCTCTTTAGAAATTCTTGCCTTTCATTGACAGATTTCTGAATTTTCCTGATAAAGACATGGAGAATATATGTAACAGCAGTGTGTATATTGACTTCATATCTCAGAGGGTACTGAGATTGATTACTCTTTAACACTTGGGTCAATATTTACCTCTTAGGTCATTAAATCACGATTTTCATTTCTATAGGAGTTGATACCTGCCTATAAAGGCGATCAAAGCTTCCACTAAAACTAGAAACGTGCCTTACACCTAGCTTATATGACAGCTGACATAAGAGAGATGGATTAAGTAGATATATTAGATAGTGTGGAATGAGATTATTTGCCATGAAGATAGGTCATGTTCTGTGCTTGGCTTCCAGGAATTTATGCAAAGATCTGACAGCATACTATACGTTTTCACATGAGTGTGCAATTATATTTTCCTGAAAATTAAGTAGCACTGGTTTTGAATTTAAAGAAGCTGAGGTGACGATTAATTGCTGAGGAAAGTGCAGTTTTAGAATCTCTTGAGGGTAATGCTAGAGTTTAGAAGTTGAGAAGTCAAAGGAGCCTGACAAATTGCTTTGTTGTATCCTAAGTTACCATGAACTCTTAGGTTCCTGAGTTGCCATGGATTCTTGCACAGGTGTCATGTTTATTTCTGCTGCAGATGGAAATTCACTGGTCTTGACTCTGGATTCCTAAGATCATGTCAGATCCAATAGATAAAACAAGATACAACTGACTAACAAAGTTTGACACTGATTATAGGCATGGCCCAGAGTCTGAGCTTGTCTGAAGAGACCAGGGGAAAAAAAAAAAAAAGTGTTCAAGATTTTGCCTTTTACCTCTTTAGGTATTCTGTGACTACCATGGCCACTCTCAGAAAAAGAACGTGTTTCTCTATGGTTGCAGTATCAAGGAGACCTTGTGGCAAGCAGGCTGCACGGTTGACACAGCAGTCATCACAGAAGATGTTGGCTACAGGGTAAGTCTGCTTGGTTCCTTTATGCAATTACTGACATGTACGTGCGTGTATATTGCTCTCCAAGACAAGGCCAACTCACAAAACTTGGGTGTAGGTGAGAGCTTCCCTTACTCCAGAGGAGTAGATATTCAGAAAACTTCAAATCATTCACAGTGTCAGGTACCAGGACAAAAGTTGTCAATAGGTGGGTCCCTATTTATTTTATTTTAGTAAGATGCTGTGTCTTTGGCCACAGACTGTTGGAATGCCATAGTTTTGTGTGTTCTGTGAGTTCCAAGTATATGTGTGCTTTTATCACCCCGCCATAATAAGAAAATAAAAAGGTATTCCATAATAGTTACTGACGAAATGTCACTGTGCCGTTGTCCTACTCAGTTGAGTTGCTTTCTCACAAAATGCTCCTGGTCCCAATGAAAATGCCAGAGAATTCAATGGATGTCAAACAGATCTAACACAGTGAAGTTTTCATGGCAAGTGCTTGGCATCATAAATGGGGAAAAAATTCTGGGATTTGAAAGAATGAATATTGAAATCTGTCTTGCTTCTATTTCATCAAACTCTTCTCTGGATTTTCTGCCATCTCTTTCTTTGCATCTGTCTAGATGATATTTTCCTCTTAAATGACAAAAAAAAAAAAATAAATCTGATAAGCTATATTTATAGTCTTAGAAAAGGTTAATTTCGTAAAACATTAACTGTGGCCTTAAACTAATTATAGAGGTATAGCTTGTCTAACTGCAACCTGAAATAGGTTGACAAGTCTAATTATCCTTCCATAAGGTTACCACATCCTGTGTTGGTCTTAAAGCAGTGTACATACCATACGGCCACTTTCCCTGAAGAAAGTACTCCAACATTCATCATAAGGGGTCCCTGTGGCAAACACTCTGTTTCACAAAGAAAGCAGGAAGGGTGCTTACAGTCATGATATCTTTTGCTGTGTTTGAATTCAGGCAGCTTGAAAAGGCTGGGGATGGTTCACTGTTACACAAACAGAATTCAAATGCTGCTTTCAGCATCTGGAGCCTGTCTTGAATCTGCAATGAAGAAACCAGGAGCAAGCCTCCAAGGCTGTCCAAAAAAAACTCTGCAGTGGCCTATATAAAGGATTCTGTGGTTAGAATTCTCTCATTTTTTGCACGATATGGGAGGTTTCTGTCCTGCCTCCTGTAGATAACTGGGGATCGGCCTGACCTCCACAATGGATTTGCTCCTCAGGAGCAGGAACCAAATCCCTCAAGAAAATGGTGATTTTGGAACAGTCTTTGCATCATAGACATAAACCATAGACTGAGCTGTAGCCCTTGGCAATTCACAGGAGTAAGAGTCTTTATTACTTTCTATTATTTTGTGCCCTTAGATGACTTGTGCAGCATTGGCATCACAAAACCCAGTTTCAGGATTTGTCCTTTTGATAGCCATTCCAGGCCCCTTTGAAAACAATTTCTGCAGGGACATCAGCAGAGAAACCTAATTCCATTCTCCTCTAAATGGGAATGGTGGTTTTTGGACATGGTCCTGCGTGAGGGGAGCAGCTCTCCTCGCTGTTGTGCATGTTAAATCCAGCTGTGTGAGAGAAAGGGAACACAGTCACACTGCTGCATTACTATAAAAGAATCCTTTAAAAGGGTGTGTTTTCACCCTTCCAAAAACACAATTGAAAGATAATTAATGAGAAAAATAAGTAGAGAAGAAAGAACCATTAGTGTGAAATCCCGTGAAAGCTGGTAAAATGAACAGAATATTAAATTCAGATTTGCTAATGCTCCTAAATGAGTCCTGCGTACAGAGGCATTACTGTTACCTGCCAGCATTTTTATTTAATTGTATGTAAAAGATTGATTATGCATATAATTTCAATTGTTTTTAAAAGCTAAACTGGATTAAGGATCTGATTATTGTATTTCATAATATATATATTTACAAAAATCTGTGTGTTGTTTCAGATGAGTACAGAATGAAAGCTATCTGTACCTTCAGACACAGTTTAACTGGATCTAATGATAGTGCTCAGGATTATAATTGTTTGGGTGATATGACTGCTGTGTTTTCTTAATTCCTGTTCAACCCCAGTCCAGGAAAACCTGGAAGCTCTGCACGAAAGCAGCAAATTATACTTTGAAGCAAATAATACTAGCAGCAAATAATACTATTTTGCAACAAATACTTTGAAGGCAATTCAGAATGCTTAGTCTAGACCAAGCAGTCCATTTTAAAGATTCCTCTCTTCAGTATGCTCACAGAAAAGGGAGTGCTGCAGTTCTTAGTATCATGCTGGAGATCTTGATGTGAGATTTAAAGTTCATGTTGGTCTCAGATTTAAAATATAATTTATTTCTCCCTTTGTTCTAGTTTTCTCTTTTTTTTTTTTTTTTTTTTTTTTTTAATCTGAAAAAATAACTAGGGTCCATTGACAGCTGTAACCAGGATATACTAAAAATTGACATTTACTTTTTTGTTACAGAGATGTGCATGGTTAAGCTGTTTGCAGGGGACATTGCAAAATAGTTTAGACCAAAGATTTATCATTCGTGTCAATCATGCTTTAGGAAAAGACCTGCTGTTAAACCTTACTCTTTCAGTGTTGATGAAACCAAGAATTCCAGCACAGTGCTATGAAGTAAAGCTCCACAGAACGGAACTACGATTGCTCATAATCAATCAGTGAACCTGATTGTTATTGGGAAGTGAAATTAGCCGCTTGGCTTTCACCGCCCAAACTGAATGAAATTCAAGGGTAAATGCCACTAGCAATGAGCAGAAACTCCTTCTACGTGATTCCATTTGGTTCAGAAGTTTAAGAAAGCTGTCATCAAAGAAATAATGAATGTCCTCATTTTGCTTGCTGTTTTCTAGATGGGCCAGATGGTCTTTTGGCATATATTCAGGGGAGTATGCAAGCACTAAAATTTACACACATGTACGTGTGTATGTAAAGGTTCAGTACCTACATAAAGCACACCTAGTGTTAACGTATCTAGTATATGTTTTTACAGGTGTCATGAATAAGTATGTGTTGCCTCCGCACTGATGGAAGGTTTTGATACTGCAGTGTGTTAGGAGTGTTTATAGACTGTTTTAGAAAATATGGTTTCTAGAATAAGAAAATTACTCAGGGCTAAGATATAACTTTTACTGGGTTTTCATGATTACTTTTTATTATGATTTTCTAAATGAAGTGTATAAAATACACCGTTTGGACCCAGATAAGAATATTTTGGTTTCACGGTGCAAGATAGGTAAATGCTAAGCCCTATTTTCATGTAATTATCTGTGACCTTCGTTAGGATTACACATCACCTTTCTCTGCTGTATGCTAGGTTCAAAAAAAAGCTCCTCCCATAGCTGAATCCCTTGTCAAATTGTGGATGTGTGATGGCAGGAGATACAGTGGGGCTGAAGAGAAAGGAAACATCGTGTACTGAGCTGTGACTGCAGCCCTCTGGGCAGAACAACGCTAAGGTGTAGTTAATGTTGAAGCAGCTTGAAAATAAAACTTTGTGACTTCAGCAGCCCATAATTATTGGATGTGAAAAATGGTTAATTTTGAATGAGATATACCAAATGTACTGTATATTTGGCATTTTAGTCTTTGACTTGAAAGAAAAAAACACATTAGAATATGAGGATTTCACATGGGATGAACTTAATGAATCCAGTTTGGCACTAGTTGGAGCTATCTTAGTTAACAGCTTCTACAGATAGGTCTGATGATAGACACTTCAAAAACCACAGGTCTTTCTGAAGATGTGAGAGCAATATCAACACGTGTTCATCTGTTCAGTTCATTTTCTCATTGCTGCTACTTTCTCATAGACTCTTCCTAAAATCCTGGATAAAGTGGCCCCTGCGTTTGTCATGAACAGCTGCAGCTTCCTGGTAGAGAAGTCCCGGGAGTCAACGGCGCGGGTCGTGGTGTGGCAGGAAATGGGTGTGTTGAGGAGCTACACCATGGAGAGCACGTACTGCGGCTGCAGCCACGGTCTCTACAAAGTGAGTAAATCTTCCAAAAAAAAAACCCTGTGCTACCCTCCTTCGAATGTATGTCTCATGAGCTTGGAAGAGTAAAGAGATAGCTATTGCCCTGCTGCTTAGTGTTGCCTGCTTTTTCCAGACCTACTACAGGATGAATGTAGCCTTAATTCTCAGTTTCTCCTTAGGGAAATCTTTCAAGGATCCCTCACTCTTTTAATCTTCCATGCCAGGAAAGTGGAATCCTTTCTTTGAGGTTTCATTCAAGAGTGAAACAATAAGAAACTCCAGTCTGGAGCCAAAAACGTTGAGCTGAAGGCAGGAGTGTTTCTGGGATGATACAGGGCACTTACTCTTCTAAGAGTATTCATGGTGTTATTCAAAAAAAAAAAAAAAAAAAAAAAAAAGTGTTGGCAGGTCATAGGGACATCTTTAAGCCAGATCTAAGGAAATTAAACACTCACAGAATGGTTTGGGTTAGAAGGGACCTTAAAGATCATCTAATTCCAACCCCTGCTATGGGCAGGGACACCTTCCACTAGACCAGGTTGCTCTGGTCTATTCATTATTATACTTGTCTTCCACTAGTATTATCATCAACATGAGTACTAGTGGTTGTATGCTGTGTGGTACAGGCTGGCTACCTGAGCATTCACTCAGCTAAATGTAAGAACCTGTGCTGAGAATCCTGAGTTTGGAGCTGCCTATTATTGACAGCCAAAGATAGCTTAATCTATGGCTAGTTTAACAGCTGCCCATAAGTTCAAGGCATGCCTTTTAACTATGATGTAAATGGACCCAAATTCCATATAAAATGAGGTTCTAGACTTTGTGGGAAGGACCATACTTGCACTGAATACTTCAGAGACAGAAGTCTATGAGATCTCCTGGCACTTCTTTTGTGCACGGGATGAACTCTGTTAATGCATGTAGCTGTTCATAATTTTCCATTCACTCCAATGGTGAATTCTTTCTCTGTTCCTTTCTCCAACCTGTTGTTTTCATTGAATGGCTTCCATATTCCACCTTATTTCTCCCACTAGGGAGCAATCCTTATCTATACAGCATTAATAAGCGGTTAAGGATTCTAAAAGACCCTTAAGGAAAGAGCCATTATTACAAATAACAATTAATTAATAAGACATTCAAATGATTATCTTTGCAAGCTCTATACTAATCCTTTTATTTCTCTGTAAAGTGTAGCCAGGAAGTACTCAGCAGCTGTTTTAACAATGTTCTCCTATACACACATCAATTCCAAGACAGAAAAGGCAGAAGAAGAAACTGCAGACAGTTTAAAGAAAGTGAATATAATTGCCTTGAGCATTACATTTAACACTCCCTACTCCTGAGAAGTTCTAATGGGTTTTTAATAGGCACCACAGGTCAAGACAGTGGTTTTGAATCTTCTTTAGACAGCGAGGAAAAATTCTACATTGACTGAAGTCAGTGGCAGAAATTCTAGCGATCTCCATGGAAGACGATTTCACTCATATCCTAAATAGCCACAGCAACACCCAAAAGCAGTGACATATCAGGTTGAATCAATATCTAATGATTTGCTCTCTTCCTCCTTTAACATCTGTGAGGTCTTTAACCCAAATTTGCTTAAATTGTGTGATCAGGTTCTTGAAATAGTAGGAAGAGATTAAATGCCTCATTCAGAGGATGAATATAAAGTGTGCCATTTACAGGTCCCTATTATATGGTGGAGGCACCAAAAATAAGCAGAAAGACCTGGTGAAGATAAATTTTTTTTTTTTTTTTAAATAAATCCTCTAAAATACGTAAATGATTTTCTGCTTTCTTTCTTGTTCTATTTTTCATCACTGATCAGGACCACAGACAGGCAGCACTGAGGACATGAGCAATTTGACATGAGTGTTTGTCACTGGTGACAGAATCCAGTATTCTTATAGCTGGCCCGTAAAAGAGTTTTTTGAAATTTCCATTCCTAACATTCTGAAAATGACTTCTGTATGTTGAAAGGCTGAGCCCCAATATCCAACTGGTATCTATCAGGTTATTTCATTTTCCTTTTTTTTTCTTTTTTCTTTTTCTTTTTCTTTTTCTTTTTTTTTTTTTCTTTGCTTAGGATTTTCATCCATCTCAAAGATGAAACGAATGTAAATATATCCACGAGGGAACGTTTCTTCATTTCATCATAAGGATAATAGAAACACTTTTTGCGTTTTCTCTGATTAAGGCATTTCAAAGTATTTCCACTCATTTTTCCAAACTACTCTAAGTACCTGACTTGGTAGCACTGAAACAAAATATTTCTTACATTGACTTTTATGCTGGAAATGCATAAAAATGCATAAGCTATCTCTTTCAAATAATATTAATAGGCTATTTCATCTTCCTTTTAGCAGTCTTTAGCATTAGTTCTTGCTTGTTTCTTCTTACAAGTGGATTCTTTAGCGTACAGACTCGATATGCTGACCTGAAGATTTGGTTGCATAATAGCATTTAATATTCAGCTTCCATCTGTCAAGCCAAAAGTAGTTCATTAGAATCTGGAACCCCTGAAATATTCTTGTAAATTGGAAATTGGAAGTGAATCACATAAGAGGTGTTTTTTTTTTTGTTTTGTTTTTTTTTTTTTTAAAGACTTCAAACTGAATACTTCACTCTTGGACCCAAGTGTTGATATGTGTGAAAACAATAGAACTGAGATTAATGCTCAGGTTGCAGATGTCAGCATCATAGATTTAGAGCTTTCTGATACTTGGATTAGTTGATTTACTGTTTTTTACTCTTTTTTTTTTTTTTTTCCCCTTTTACATTGCCCCTTGTCCTATCATTGGATGTCACCAAAAAGAGCCTGGCTTTGTCCTCCTGACACTCACACTTTACGTATTTATAAACATTAAAAAACACCCCAAGGCCTTGAAGTCTTTCTTCATTCTCCTCAGACTTTGGGATGCAGCTCCCTCCCCTCCCCTCCCCTCCCCTCCCCTCCCCTCCCCTCCCCTCCCCTCCCCTCCCCTCCCCTCCCCTCCCCTCCCCTCCCCTCCCCTCCCCTCCGTTTTTTTAATTTATTTTTCTTTCCTTTTTTTAATTTTATTTTTCTTCCTTTTTTTAATTTAATTTTTTCTTTCCTTTTTTTTTAATTTTATTTTTCTTCCTTATTTTTTTAATTTTATTTTTCTTTCCTTATTTTTTAATGTTATTTTTTCTTTCTTTTTTTAATGTTATTTTTTCTTTCCTTTTTTTAATTTTATTTTTCTTTCCTTTTTTAATTTTATTTTTTTTTCTTTTTTTAATTTTATTTTTCTTTCCTTTCTTTTTCTTCTTTCTTTTCTTGTTTTTTTTTTTTTTTAATTTTTTCTTCTCTCATCTTTTTAAATGTTTTCTTAAATGTTTCTTTCCATTACTTTCATTTTCTTTTTTTTTTCTTTTCTTTCTTTTTCATTTTTCTATTTCTTTCATTCTTTCTTTCTCTCTCTCTCTCTCTCTCTCTCCCCCCCCTATCTTTCTTCTTCGTCCTTTCCTCTTTTTTTTTTTTTTTTAATCTTTTATCTTTTCCTTTCTTTCTTTCTTTCGGAGGTAGTCTTGAGTCGTGGTGTCAACTGCCTCTCCCTGCATGACCTCACAGGCAGGCCTTTCACCACATCCTCGCCTACCTCTCCTTCAGGGTGCAGGCCCTGAGAGGCCCCACATTAGGGCACAATTAGTGCCCTGTGACGGAGGGGCACGATTAGTGCCTTATTATGCAGGGGCACAATTAGTGCCCTATTATGCAGGAGCACGATTAATGCCCTATTACGGAGGAGCACCTGGGGAAGCGATGTAGGTAGAGAAGGATGTCCTGTGACACCAAACCAGGTCTCGCTTCCAACCCTCCTCATCTTCTCGCTCCACCAGCGATAGGGCAGGGGCTCCACCACCCTCTGGGCGCCATCCTTTTCCCTGGCACCCCAGGGAGTTGCTTCAGGCGGCCACCTCCTGCTCACGGGCCCTGCTGCTCCTCAGCGAGCGGCCCTGCCCCGAGCCCCGGCCGTCTCCCCGCTGCCCTCCGCCGGCAGCGGCAGGCTGAGGCACTGCCTGCAGCCATGGGGCTGAGCAGCCACGGCTCCGGGCAGCCCCTGCGCCTGGGTCGCCACGGTCTCTGCCCGGCGGACGCCATGGGCGCTGTGCTGCCTCACAGCCTGCCAAGAGCTTGTGCACACCCCCGCGCCCTGCCACAGCGGTGTGTTTGTGCTGTGCCAACCCCTCCCTGCTCCTGGTTGGCAGCCACATGAGGTGTCGCCGCCCTCCCGGAGGCTGTTTCTAGGCAGAGAGCCGGGCAAAGTCATGGCACTGGCTACGCCCAGCCCCTGCCAGCCTCTGAGGAGAGCTGAGGGGGGCGAGGCCTCGGCCTGTTGCTACCCCGGCCACCCCTGTGGAGGCAAGGGCGCGAAATCCCCCCCCCTAACTCGTGTTGCTGGGCAGGGTCTGAGGGGAACACTGTTGCACAGAGACATCTGACAGGAATTTGCAAAGAATTTAGGAAAAACAAGAAAGCCACATAAAGGCTGCAAAGGGTTTAAATAGTAGTTGCACACGGCTAGCACAGGTGCCCTCTCTCACCACAGAGCGATGTCGGAGAAGGGCTGAGGTAAACCAGAACCTAGGCTGTCTGGTGGAGAGTCCAGAAAAGACATTGCTAGAGTTTGTCCAAGGCATTGTGTGTGGCCTGTTTTTGACCGAAATACAACTTTAGTTTTTAAAGCAGTTCAATGAGTGAAAGATAAGACAGGAATTTATTACCAGCAATATGTAAATGAGAAAAAATAGTGAACCCAGACTTGTTTAAAAGTCATTTGATTTCAGATGGGGCAGGGGGAGGCAGGAATGAAGGGCAGAAATGAGAGGTTAAAAAAAAAATAAAAAAATCTGTTGAATCTTCCTGTCTGTGATCAATGGAAATGCAATAAGCCAACTACCCTTAAGGAAGAGAAACATAAAACTAAAGAAACTATTGATCTTATCTGAGGTTTTATTCAACTTAAGGAAGAAGAAAAGAAGGGCAAAAA